TCCACAAGGTCTGTGGGGTAACAGTGGCCTCCCTGTCTGGGTCCGTGAGGCACTGTGTCTGGCGAGGCGCCCTTTCCTGGACCCACGACCTCGGCCCCATCTGCCTCCAGGCTGTGGGGGTGGTGCCTTCTTTGGGGGCGCCTTCCACTCTCGCTCCAGCTCCTCAGCCCTGCATGACAAGTGCTCAGTGAGCCAGACTCGACCCATTTCAGACTCACTGAGCCTGGCCCGTGGGGTTTTTCTCTTCTTCTGCTTTGCAAGTGATGCTGGGTCTGTGGAACACTAGCGACCGGCTCGTCTGTACTGGAGGTGTCGTCTTGCTGTTGGAGCTATTTTCCCCTGAAAGCTACCACGGGGGCAGGTGTGCTTTCCTTCCCTCCCTGCGTCTGAACACGCTTTGGATCCCAAAACACACACAGCACAGAGGGCGCTGTAGCTCCGGATTCCAAACGCTCAGGAGGCGGCCTGCTGTTTTGGTGAAAGCGGACCGTTAAAGCAGCCTCGCCAGGCCGCGGGGAGCGACAGGTCGCCTGCTGGCAAGTGACCTGAGCAGAAGCGCGGCTGCAGCTCCGTTTCCAGCCTGCATTCGGCTGTTGTGCCCTAAATAGCCACTGTTCAAGTGCACCAAATATTCATCATCCCTCGAATGTTTGCAAGTCACAATTGCAAACTCCAGCACACCCAGACAATCAAAGAGCAAGGACTGACTCGGGGAGGGGACTGCAGTGGCTCCGGGAGCCCCACCGGTGCTGAGTTTACTGTCTTCCTTACTAGAGATACAGAGGTCCCAGAAGGGCAGGGGCCCGAAGCCTCCTGTAATCCAGCCTCATGCAGCGTAAGGCAACCAAGGCCCAGAGAGGGGAGGGAGTGTTGCAAGGTCACACAGCAAGGATACTCTCTATGGATAGGCCTCACCTTCTAGGTGCCTCCACGTGCACCTGCTCCCTGCCTGGACCCGCCCCCCGCCCCCCCACGGCCCCGCAGGCCACTGGCACCTAGGTTGGAAGCCTTCACTCTCTCAGCCCCGACCACGTCCGTCACTGTGCCCAGGGGGTCTTCCTCTCCCAAGTGTCTCTAAGAGCCACGCTCATCCCCCATCCTCACGCCTCCTCAGGCGCAGACACCAGCACCTCCCATCTGACACCCGATAAGCCCTCCCACCCTCCCCGTATAACGTAGCTGACTGACACTCCTGGAAAAAATCCAAACATCCAGGGCCTGATGCCCTGCAGAGTCTGACCGCTGCCCCTCTCCAGCTGCCTGGACCCGTCTCCCCTCGGGTTCTGTGCTCAAACACAGAACCATCCCACAGAACTTTCTGTGATGCTGGGCGTGTCCAACACGGCACCACCAGTTATGTGCAGCCACTGACGCCTCAGGTGTGGCTGGTGTGACGAGAGCCCAGGTTGTAACTTCATCTCACTTAAATGAACCTCAGTATAAACGGCCCTGTGATGTGCTCCTCTGCACAGCAGCACTGGTCCTCCAGGCTGTAGAAGCCACCCGGTCCTGGACTGTGCTGCCTCCTCCAGGCTGTCCTCCTGACCGTCACACTTGTGCTCAGGCCTCAGCTGGAGGTCACTTCTGAGAAACCTTCCAGCTGCCTCCCAAGGGCTCACCAGCCCTCAGTCTCCCGTCTGCCGTCAGTGGCTCGTTCTCTTGTTCGTTCTGCAGACGTATGTGTGGCACCCACCGAGGACCAGGCCCTGCGCAGTGGAGCAGACACACCGCTCTCCGTCCCGCCCTAAGCAGCAGCAGTGCCAGGCCTGAGTCATGCCCGCATTCCCTGCACCTGGCAGGAGGCCAGGCCGGGCTCAGTGCTTGTGGGGTGACTGAACGCGTACCTCTGCCAGCAGGTGGTCACAGCTAGTGTTACGGGCACACCTGGACGCTTCCTTTCCAAGAAGCAGGTTGAATCCTGTTGCAAAGCCCGTACACTCTGGTGCATCTGCCCAGCCCCGCCCCAACTTGCCAAATACCAGCTCCTCCTGGCTTCCTTCTATAAACTTGGTGCCCTGTCTCCTAAACCAATCCAATAGAGTTTAGACCTCAAACCTCTTCCTACAATGCCTTTGTTGACAGATGGATAAACTGAGTCCCAGTAAGGGGGAATGAATTTACTGGAGGTCACACAACAATGGCCTTGCCAGGCCTGTTGTCTCTGTGGATACACCAATGCTTCTGAACTTCAGCCACACACAATCACCTGCACCACTATTACCTAGCATGTACATTTTTCGATATTACAATTTAAACACTACACCAAAAGCACGAGCTACAACAACATAATAGTTAAATCCAACATCCTCAAAATGAGAAACTTGTGCCTCAAAGGACACCACGTATGTGATAAGGGTCTTATATCCAAAATATATAAAGAATTCTTACAATTTACTAATGGAAAGACAACGAACTAAACAACAGCAAAAGATCTGAACAGACATTTCTCCAAAGAAGATCTAAATGACCAACAAGGACATGAAAAGACACTCGACACCACTCGTCAGTAGACAACTATGAATCAGAACCTCAAGGAGACACCACGTCACACACCCACCAAGATGGCGAGGACCGAAAAGGCGGATAAAGGCAAGTACTGACGAGCAGCACGTGGAGGTGGCTGGTGGGACCACACGATACGTAGCCGCCGAGGAAAAGCGTCTGCAGCTCTTCAAACAGTCACACTTAGTTATTATGTGACCCAGCAATTCCACTCCCAGGCATACAGCCGGGAGAAATGAAAACATGTCCACCCAAAACTCTGTACATGAATGTTCATACAGCGTTATTCATACAGCCAATAAGTGGAAATAACTCCAATGCCCGTTAACGGATGAAAGTACAAGTAACATGTGGCCCATCCACACTGGGGAGCGTTGTTCGGCCACAGAAAGGAAGGAAGCTGTGGCACCGGCCACAACATGGATGAACCTTGAACACATGATGCTCAGTGAGAGACGCAGACACAAAGAATCAGACAGTGTGTGAGTCTGTTTACATGAAACTCCAAGCTGGCCAAGTCCACAGAGGCAGAGAGTAGCCTAGTGGCTGTCCAGGCCTGGAGGGAGGGCAGCATAGGACAGGTTTTTTCTGGAGTAACGAAAAGGTTCTAAAATTGTGGTGATGGATGCACAGTTCCGTGAATATACTGAAAGCTATTGAATTGTAGACTTTAAGTGGCTGAATTATGAAATATGTAAATTACATCTTGATAAAGGTGTTAAAAAATCTTACTTTAACACTAAAGCAAGAATACTCAGCAACTCATGGGCTAATGCCCTATTTAAATATTTTTCAATGTCTATTAAAAATATATACCCATTAAACTTTAAATGGTGGGGCTTCCCTGGTTAAGAATCCGCCTGCCAATGCAGGGGACACAGGTTCAAACCCTGGCCCGGGAAGATCCCACACGCTGCGGAACAACTAGGCCCGCGCACCACAACTACCGAAGCCCGCACTCTAGAGCCCGTGAGCCACAACTACTGAAGCCCGCACGTGCCTAGAGCCCGCGCACAGCAACAAAGACCCAACGCAGCCAAAAATAAAAATAAATTAAATAAATAAATTAAAAAAAAAAAACAACTTTAAATGGTCGTGCACAAACCACGTAAATTACACTTTGCGGGCCCCCCCCAGGCTCTACCTCCCACCTCAGGGCTGTTCCTCTCTAGACCCTCTCAGCATACATCCTTCAAGATCTCAGAGGAAAAATACTACCACCTAATTAATTCAGAATCTTCAACTTACAAAGCTCTGGGCGCACCTGGAGACGACTTACTGGACTGTGGACAATACACCACCAAGACGGGGGGCCTGTGTGGCCGACGGGGCGACAAAGACATTGTGGTTTTCAGCTATCGTCCCGGCTTCCTGCCAGGGAGGGGTCCAGGCCCACCTGTCACCTAGCCGTCAATGCAACATCTGAGCTCGACCCCGCCTGGCACATCCTCCTCCCTGCACAGTTCCATACTCACTGTTGTGACATCAAAAGAGGCCTGGAAGGGGCCCCTCTACTCAAGCTCCAATCTGAGAGGGCACAGAGGAGCCCACGGTGGCCAGAAAGTTCTATGAGGAGCCCCCTCCCCTCCAGAACCTTCCCCAAGGAGCCCACATGCAGCCTAGGCCTCACCTCGCCCACATCACCCCTCATGAACGTTGGGGTTCTGTCCTGTGTGAACCAGGCTGGCCGGCCGCCCTGGTCACGGATAGCTGCTCCTTCTTGGGGGGCCCATGCCCTGGACCTTTGCCACAGTCCCCACCCAGCCCAGCAGCCCCACATGACCTGAATGGCCTCATGGGCTTTCGGGGGTGCAACCCATGCTTTAAAAACAATGAACCGTCTCAACAGTGCAAAAAGGGCCCTGTTTGGTAAGGTAGATAGCTTGTGGGAAGCAGCCGCATAGCACAGGGAGATCAGCTCAGTGCTTTGTGATCGCCTGGAGGAGTGGGATAGGGAGGGTGGGAGGGAGGGAGACGCAAGAGGGAAGAGACATGGGAACATATGTATATGTATAACTGATTCACTTTGTTATAAAGCAGAAACTAACACACCATTGTAAAGCAATTATACGCCAATAAAGATGTTAAAAAAAAAAAAAAGGCCCTGTTTGAAAGTAACCAAAGATGGCAAACAACTGGGCCCATGTGGGACAAGCAAGCCCCAGGACCACCATAGTAGATGCTGCTCATTTCCGGGGTAGTCTGGCTTCCAAGTGTTCCTTCTCCGCCATCCCCAGTTTTCAGGTGCCACTGAGGGGCTCATTCCGATTTTGGTAGCAGTTTCTATTTTATCTAGAATAGGGATCGGGGTCAAATCAGCTGACCCACTAGTTTTAGAAACAAAGTTTTACGGGCACGGCTATGCGCATTCACAGACATAGAGTCTGGCTGCTCTCGGGCGAGGAGAGCAGAGCTGAGAGGCTGAGACACAGATCACACGACCTGCGCACTCCCGATCACAGCCCCTCGCACCTGACCCCCACCGGCCCGGCACTTACTTCATGGGTTTGAACAGTGCTTGCCCGTAGTTCTGGAAGGTCATGATGAGCTTGAGTTGTGTGCCCCCCGACTTCATGGCTGCAACAGGAGGGAAAGAATACAGGGTCACCTGCTGCCTTGGGGCAGGCCCGTGAGCTTGATGATGCACTGCTCCAGGCTCTGGGGGGACCCCCGGGTAGCGGTGGCCTGAGGCTGTGGGGTTAGGTCAGGGTATGGGTGCAAATGTGAGGGTCGTGGCGGTGGAGTGGGGAGGGTCCGGGACCAAGGCCCGGGGCAGGCAGATGTTTCAGGGTCAGGAAGCACCAACCAGGGGCTGGAGGAGCCGTGCTGAGGAGGGTGGACGGGGCCTGGGAAAATGGGCCGACGGCAGAGGTGGCGGGAGGTTGCCACACTGGAGGGTTGGGTGTGCGGTGGCCCCAACTGGCGCCCTAGACGGTGTCTCCGCTTGCCCCGACCTCGGCTCCCTCTGTTGAAGGGGGCTCACCACACCCACCCAGCCTCCCCCATGGGGCTGGGGGCAGGGCTGAGACCCACTCGTCGGTGCCTCAGGGGACTCAGGTGAGCACGGGGACGCCTTGCACCCTCTCCCGGGGTTGCTCTTGTGGTGACCGGGGTCACGCTAGTGAAGCACCTGGAACAGCGTCAGGCATGTTCAGGTCAGCGGACTTCAGGGGCGAGAGAGGCAGGACCTCAAGGTCCAAGTTCCCATATGTTTCAGGGGCTGCAGGGCTCCATGGGCGCCGAGGCCAGACCTGTCCTCCAGGTCCCCGGCCACCTGCCTGACTCCTGCTGCCAGGTCAGCAGCTCCATCTGAAGGGGACCTGGACCCAGCATCGGAGACAGAGTGACCCAGGTCTGTGGGTGAAGGTCCCCGAGCCTGTGCCCTCCCCATTCCTAACAAGATCCCTGACCCGTATTTGGATGGGCCACCCTGACTTTAAATGAATGAACTCTGTCTTCTGGAGACTGGTGGACCACATAGACACCTCCATGTGGGAGGTGCTGCCAGGTGCCAGCAGGGCCACTGACGTTGTGCCCTCGGCCTCGGCCAGTTCATCTGTGAAGTAGGACCAACGTCTGTCCTTAGGGGTCACGGTCAGGACGCTGGTCCAGCTGTTTTCACAGCCCCTGCCTTGATTTAAGGGTCAGAAGAAGTGAGGCCTGGCCCAAGGATGGCTCAAGTTTGGAGAATGTGACACCGGGAGCCGCTGGGTTCTCTGTTCTCCCCGCCCACCCCATAGCCACGGAGAAAGGCGAGAGCGCATCCATTTACAGGCACTGAGGGGCCAGCCCCGTGGGCACCTGCCCCACGTAAGCCTGTGCCCCGGCCTGGGTCCTCGGCCCAACTTGGGGGTGCAGCCCAGACTTCAGTCCATGACACAGGCCCCAGGACGTTCGAGAAGCAACAGCTTCCGGCCTGGACTACGCCTGACGCCATGATTTGCTACCATCCAGCTCACCCTTATCGGGGGAGTTCTGCTTACTTGAGAGGGAAACCACAGCACTGCCCCAGGTGGAAACCAGCTCCCGCCCTGGACTTAGACGGAACCCAGTCGGAACACACGCCTGCTGGATTCCGGGGCCGTGGCTGCCAACGGTTCAAAATGGAGAAAGCAAGCGCTGGGGGGTGCAGCTGGGCCAGCAACGCACAGGCTTTGTTTTTGACCTTCAACCCGACAGCGAAGAGACACGAGGAGGACCTCAGCTATTCACCGCCGTCTCCGGGTTCCCTGGGGCGGCCTTTGTCCCTCCTCTAGGATGACTGAAGGCCCCTCCGGCCCTGGGCGTGGGCGTCCAGCTTACTGGGCATTTTCAGTTCCCTTCCTCAGGGTCAGTCGAGCCAGGCTCCGGGGACTGATGCGGAGCATGACGCGGTGGTTTCCCCAGGGAAGGAGGGGGACTGTAGCCCTTCTGGGCCCAGAACCACCTTCCTGAGCAGCCCACTCATTAGGCAGGGCGGCCCTACGGCCCCCTGGGCTGCTGTCCTAGCAGGTGAGTGAGCACCCAGGACTTCTGTCCCGTGGAGCCGCGTCTCCACTGCTCGGCACCACCCAGGGCTTTGTCCTGATCTGGATGAGCAACTGTGGGGTCTGTGCTTCAGGCCAGAGGCTGCCCGAATCCTCTCCTGCTGAGTGACTTCTTTTTAAGTAACTCCAAGTACAGGTAGTTAATTGTGTCATTTATTCTTTGCATCCATGATTGTGCACAATAGTGATTTAATTATCAACACTATCACTGGCCCAGCCAAAGCCTCTGCAGGCCTGGCTTCAGGGTCCTGAGCCTCTTTAAAGGCGGCTAATAGCCATTGCTAAGCAGCCGGGAGCCCAGCTCTAAAGAAGTCTCCGCTGGCCACATGTGCTTTGTGAGTGGATCAAGGGGTTCTGAACGGGGAGCCTTGACGGAGCTGTTCTGAGGGAAAGCATCGGGGGCCTCGCAGGACCTGTTCTCATCGCCACACCACTTCTGGGCTCACGTTCCAAGACTGAAGTGACCATCTGGGTCCAGACACAGCCCAGAGCTGGGGGCAGAGATGTGCTGACCATGGGCAAGCCTGCCCTCCCGGAGGCCTGTCCCCCAATTTGCAGGGTGGGGTCGGGAGATGGGCTGGATTTCTAGCTCTTCTTCCACTTTAAGCTCAAAAGGACGGACGGCGCTGTTGAACCCTGACTCCCAAGGCAGGTTCCCGGCTCCCATGGGGCCTCCGAGGGATGCACCCCCCCAGGTCACAGCAGCGGCAGGGGCAGGGCCTCCAGCAGCAGACAGCTCTTGTCCAGGGACCCCGGTCTGCAAACCTACCCAGTGGCTCTGCTAAGCCAAGGGCCCAGTCAGAGGCTGCTGTCTCAGCAGCTGGGTGTCCAACAAAAACGACCAGCTGGATGGGGGGGCAGACACCCCCGGGGAGGTGTGCATTCCCCGGGGACGCCTGCAGCCAGGCCGGGCCAGCCCTCCCCTGCTCCCCGCCCAGCAGGAGCCTGGGCCTGGACACTTGCAGCCATGCTCCCGGAGGCTCCACTGGGCTCCAGGTGAGAAGATGTCCTGCTTCCTCAGGAAGAGGGGCCTCCTCTCAAGTGTGAACTTGCTGGGAGCACCTCCAGGCACAAAGCCGCACACAGTGGGGCTGAGCGTCCGGTGGAGGCCTTCAGCAGACTCCAGCTTGCCCAGTGCTGGCCGCCCCATGCAGAGGTAACGAGCGGGGACGCTGCCTAGCCTCTGCTCCCACCTCTTCCTCACCAACACCTCTCAACAGCCCTGTGAGGCAGGTTTCATGGGTCCACACTCGTCTTCAAAATCTCTGGGGCAGAAGTGTTCAGGGGTTTTGAAAATTTCAGATGACAAGAGTTGCAGGTGGTGTATCCATCCCACAGATCCTGTAGCCCTGAGCGGGCAGGGGGAGAACCCCGGAATTAAATGCACTCCATGGGAACATTCACTCCAAGTGAGAAAAACAAGGGTTTATAAACAGTCTCTCATTTTAGGCTTTGCCTCCATGTCCGTTCATGTTGGGTCGGGTTTTGCTGTCAAATGGGTTATGATTTCAGATTTGCAAGCTGGAGATTACAGGGTCGAGGATATGACCGCGTCTGTGATCCACAGGAGACACGGGGAGGCCCACAGAAGTTAACCCATCTGCCCAGAGTCACGCTGACTCGTGACTGGGGGAGCCGGGACACACCAGGCCTGCTGTTCGCTGTGGGTGATGATACCCGGGTTCCCACCAAGTCAACCTTCCCATGCTCGTCAGGCACCTGTGAATGCCAGCCTGGGCTCTGACCGGCCCACGGCCCCAAGGAACATGCTGGGTTAGGACCACCTAGGCCAGGGTAGTCCAACGGGTGAGATCAGCTCAAACAGCCCACAGGACACAGATGGGCAGGCACTCACCCCAGGTCACCCTGCCAGGCGCAGAGCAAGCCAGAACTCCGGGACGTCAGGCAGCCTAGGCGCCACCGCCCAGGACAGTCGGACCAAAGGGGGGGGTGCCCCAAGGCCAGGCCCCCGGGAGAATGAGGGAGGAGGGTGCCCAGGGCGGGCAAAGCTGCCTGTGAGCCCCCGAGGGCTGTCCTCGGCCTCCGGCGGCTCCCTGGGCTCCTGGGCTCTGCTCTCTGCACAGGGCAACGTCCAGTGAGAGCTGGGAGGCTGTCTGTCCCCTGAGTGGTATGGCGAGCCTGGCTGGCCTGTGGGATCCTTGCAGCCCTGCCTCTAACCAAGACCCTGCACAAAGCCTGAGTTAATACTGTACAAGCCTGGGTGCACTGTCCATCTTCTTGAAATAAGATGCAACGTGCCTGAGCCCACTTGACAGATGGGAGACTGGGGTGGACAGCAGCCTGCAAACATGAATGCTGCACTTCCCTAAACCCCAACTTTAAGATGCTGTTGCCATTTTCCCGAAAGGCCCACGCTCCCTGCCGCCTTCCATCATGGAAGCCTTCGCCCCATTCAAGACCTGGTCCTCCCAGGTGGAGGTCGCCGCCTCGTAATCACTCTCGAATTTATCTGTCCATCGGCATGTGCAGGTCAGGACGCAGCAGAAGCTTGTTGAGGCTGGATTCACCCCCAACTCCCACGGCCCAGAAAGGGGCCCTGAGATGCAGGAGGTGCTCAAGAGAATCCGCTGAACAGACGACAAACAGTCATCGCATTGGATGTTTCTCGAACAACCTCGTCTACTCAGGAGAGAAGGGGACACCCCGGCTGTGGCCTCTCCCATGCAGTCCTCTTCGTCCGCACGGATTGCCTTCCAGCACAGGAGGAGGTCTGGGTGGGGCTGGGGGCCGGGAGGCACTCAGATTCCTCCTGGGCAGCAAGAAGGAGGGGAGACCACCGTCGTGCCCCGGCGAGTTCTCTCTCAGGGTGAACAGCCATATGCTAGGGAGAAGGGTGCTGCCAAACAGCTCAGCACCACCGGGCGGAGACACCCAACACAGCCTCTAAAGAGCTCTGGAAACCCAGGCGCCAGCCTCACAGGCAACTCCCAGCTCCCTGGCATCAGCCCAGGTTAGCAGAGACCCTTCAGCCTCAGGATGGCCCAGACACCAGTAAAACAGTGCCTGGAACCCCCTGCCCCCAGCATGCATGCTCCTGGGGCCTCCCTCCACCCTTCGCGACTCCTGGGACTGTCCCTCCCACCCAGGGCCTCTGCCCACCCGCTCTGCCCTTGGAGCTATTAGTGACTCATCGGGACCTTCACAAACAGTTGCCTACAGGCCTGAGAACAATGGCGTCAAACCTCCACGCTCAGAAACCACTGCCGACACACTTGCCTGAAACCAGTAACTGGATGCCCTGAAACTTCTGATTCAGCAGATCCCAAAGAACTCAGAGATGTCTCCTCCAAACTACTCCGTGTATGGGGCTCTGCCCTGGATAGAGCTGAGCCCTTGTCACTCCCCGCCCACACGAACCCCAGGAGCACCAGGTGGGCTCTGAGGCAGAGCCTCCCCAGACAACCAGAAGGTGCCGAGCTCTCCAAGGCGTCTCCCTGCAGCTGCCAGGGGGGCCTCTTCTTAACCCGCGGGGGGGGACCCGTGGGGCACCCCCTGCAGCCGAACAACAGGACTGGGGGCGGCATATTGCCCCACCATGCTCATCTTGCAACAGCAGAAGGCAGCCTCCCGCTGCCCCCAAATACTGACAGCATCGAAGGCCTGCGGGCGCCTCCTCTGGGAAGGCTGCCAGTATAACTCGCCCACGAGGTGATGCTCCAGCAAGGAGAGCTGGCCGGGCAGGGAGGTCACCTACCAACACTGGTGATCTTCTGGGCGCCGAGGTCACGCAGCAGGGCCTCCACAGCTGGGTTGTGTCGAGAGTACAACTCATAGCGGTTGATGCCGATGTGGAATTTGAGCCAGTTGGGATAGGAGTCCACGGCCGTGTCCCCTGTGGGTAGGAATTCATCCTCAGGACCTTCGTGTGGCCTGCACAAATGAAGGTGACCCAGGTCAACAGGGAAAGAACAGAACAGCAAGGTCTCGAGATGGATGGGGGAGTTGGCATCGATGCCAAGGTTTTCACTTTGGAGCCAAGCAAACATGGATTTACTCAGAGGTGCCTCTACTCAAACAGGGCCCTGCGACGTCCGCACTTTCTCTGTGGCTGTTGTTCCACCAACTAATAATATACTTGAAGGCCTGTAATTCTCACTTACCCTTGGGAGACGCCACAGACAGCTCTAACTAAAGCAGACCAAACCCAGACCGTCAGCGCGAAGACCCGCCGCGTCTGTGCCAGGGTCACTGAAACAGCCTGACGAGCATGATGTCAGCCCGGGGTGCGAGGGCTGCTGGCTTCCTGGGGGCAGATGAGCCCAGCCTGGCGGAAGCCTTCGCTGGGTGCTCTGCTTTGGGACAGCAATGATTCAAGAGGCTAAATTTGATTTTCAGGAAGCAGCCGTGGGTGGGGAGAGAGGAAAGTGGCACTCACTCCAGCCGAGGCCCAAATCGAGGACCTGCTGCCAACGTGGCCCATCCTTGTCTCTTGAGCCAAAGGGCCAGTCTGGGGGAGGACAGGCCCTGTTTGCCGCCGGAGGGAAAAGTGGAACTTGTCTAAGCGCTAATTCACCTGCAAGTGAGGCCTTTTCAGCCCCACAATGGACACGATGGGTTAAGAGAAGCTGCCCAAGGGCCCCATCACTGACCACTGGCTCTGGGCTCTGTCTCTCCTACGAAGAGGCCCAGGCTCAAATTTCTGAGCGTTTCCGTGAACCTGGCCAGCGGACAAAGCTCAGAGGCCACTAAACACCTTGGTGTGTTTAGACAGAAAACACTGGGTCTGGTCCAACTGCAAAGGAGAAAGGATTTTATGAGATGCTTCGGAAACCTGGCCTTTCACCTCTGTTGCCTGTGTAGCCTGTGCAGGTACTTGTTTATCGTGGCCTTGCTGTTGGTTAATATTTCACCGCCCAGGGCGGCAGCATCTGCTTATTTTGATCTGTGTGGCTGAGGAGGGCCTTGGGGGGAGGGGTTAAAGCAGGACAGTTTAAAGAGATGCTCCTGGGGGATGCTACTCGCCTTTTAGGAAGCTGTCACCCCCTTGCAGCCTGGGCAGGGGGAGAACCCCTTGGTTATGCCTCACGGGGGCCAGCATGCCCCTCTGCTAATGTTTTCTCAGGGACTGGTTTACAAGGCTCATGAGGCCTCTCCAGACCTTCCCGACACGTCCAGCAGAGCGGTGTTGCCAAAAGCACCGGCAGGCAGCGGCTTCCCAAGGAAGCGCCTTCACTCACTGCCTGAGTCCCTTTGTAAGCCAGTGACCAGGGCACTGCAGGCCAGCACTGCTTTCCTGTAAATGCAGAACTCACTCTTCCCGGCTCCTCCTGCCTGCCATGTCTGCCTCCCAGGTCAGTGGCCACAGGAAACAGCTCCCAAAGCACCCAGCACCCTTCTCAGGGAGGCAGTCATTCTGGAGACAAAGGCAGTGCCCAGAGCCTGCACGCTGCCCGCCCCACAAAGCTCCCCTTCCTGGGGCCTCTGCCTTGGGGTCCACGCCCTCTGCGAGTCTCTGACCCTGAGCCTCTTTACACAGCGCCTTGGATGTGCAAGGATCTTTATTCTCAAGGGGCGCGTGGCTGCCCCGGGTGTCGGGCCTGCCAGCACGGGCCTCAGCAGCGGCAGCCCCACTCACCAGTCTGGCTTCTCCGCTGCCGCCGCCTTGGGGTTGAACCTGATGTCGCTGTTCACGTTGAAGAGGACATCGTCCTCCGTTAGCGGCGGAATGGCTACCTGGTACAGTGGGTGCTGGAACAGCCTGGCCAGGAGGGAGCCGTCCCCGCTCGGGCCGGGGGGCGGCACAGGTCCACGCGTCCCGTGGTCTCTGAGCAGCGGCCGGTGACCGGGGTCTAAGGGTCGCAGGGCGCCGGGATCCTGCCCCGGCAAGGCGCCCTCGACCGGTTCGGCTGCGGGTGGCAGTTTCTCAAGCGAGTGGGACGTGAGGTTGGAGGAAGGGTCGGAGCTGAAGTCCTGCAGGATGCGCAGTGTGTGCTTGTTGGGCCAGCCCGCGTCGCCGGCGGCGGAGGCTGCTGCCGGGGGCTCCCCCGGGCGTCCGCGCGCCTGGGCCCAGCCGGGTGCCGCCGCCTCGGCCGCGGGCTGCGCGCAGGAGCAGCCGGGTTCCCCCGAGGGCTGCGCTCCGCTCCGCTCCAGCTTGGGCAGCAGATCCAGCACGATGTGCAGCGCGCAGGCCACCAGGAACGCCATCAGGATGAGCACGCGGAATCTGCGCACCAGGATCATCTTCATGGCCCGGCGGGCGAGCGGGGCCTGGAACTCCGGGCGCCCCCAGAGCGCGCTCCGCCCGTGCCCTTCTAGTCTTGGCTTGGCACGAACGCGGTGCCGCGGCGCGGATCAAGGTCCATCTGGCGTCGGCCAGCTACTCGTCCCGGGGCTGTCCCACGCGTAGGGCGCCCACCGCCAAAGCGCCCGCTCGCCGGGCCATTTCGGGGCCGCTCCCTCTCGCCTCTCCGGAGCGGCCGCGCCCTCAGCCGGCCGGGCCCTGCGGCCCTCGTCCGCGAAGCTGGGGGCGCAGCTCGGGGAGGCCCCGCGCACGTAGCGGCCCGCTTGGGTCTCCGGGGCCGCGGCCGCGCTCATCAGGCGCGCAGGGGCCGGACACTTAGGCCCATCCCGGCCAAGGCGCGGCGGCCTGGGGTGGGGGGTGGAGGCGACCGCGCGGCGCAATCCGATCCGAGGCTCGGCGCAGTCTCTTGCGCTGCTCCGTGGGCCGCGCTAGGCGCCGAGCCGGCCGGGCGGAGAAGGGGCGGCTCCTTCGGGCAGGGCTCGGTTCTCTCACGCTGCGGCCCGCAGGCGGGGACCTGGAGGGGAATGAGGGCTAAGGGCCGCGGGGACCGAGCAGGGGGCGGGAGCGGGGGGGGTGGTGGCGCACGGAGCGTCCGGCGAAGTCCCCGGGCAGGTGCACCGGCCGTCCCCGGAGCGCAGCCCCCGCACAGCCGAGCCTCTCCCCGGGCGGTCAGATATCCGAGCGCCGCGGAGCCGCCCCCCGCGTCAGCGCCCGCAGATTGGCGGAGCCGCAGCCCCGCGAGCCCGGGCCTACGCTGCTCCCTCTGTTTTCTCCTCCCCTCGGCCGCGCCCCGCGATGCTCTGCAGCTCCCGGCCCGCTAAAGAGAGGGCGCTTTCTTCCCGCGGTTTGCCCAGAGAAGACAGAGAGGAAAGCAGACGGCGCTGATCCCGCGCTGCGGGTTCTGCCGAGAAGGGCTCCCCGGCCTGGCTGCCGCGCCCAGGACCTCGGCCCACCCGGGGCAGGCCGCCGCCAGCTGCAGCCTCTCGGCTCCTCCCCGATAAGCCGAGGGCCAGAACCCAGGCCAAGTCCCTCCCCGGAGGCGCTGGGCGTCTGCGCCGCCGGATGAGCTCCCTCTGGGCGGCGACCTTATGCCCCACGCCCTCGCCTTGGGCGGGTGCCGCGCCCCAGGCTGCCGGCGAAGGGGAGGAGGAGGGGGCGTTGGGGTCGACACCGCGGGAGACGGTGAGAGGAGCGGAGTGTTGGCCCAAATCCGGAGGGGAGGCCCGCACCGGAGCGAAGCTCCTGCACGCTGGGGCCCCATCCCACCTCGAGGGGACCACGCCTGCGCCTTAACTATGGCGGCGCCGGTGCCCCAGTTAGAATTCGCTTGGCACAGAGAGGTGCCCGGCGTGTGCGGGAGGCGGCACCTCCCTCGCTTTGGGCGGGACTTTGTGTGTGTGTGTGTGTGTGTGTGTGTGTGTGTGTGTATCAATTGGCCTCGCCAGACGCGCAAAATTGGCCACCTACAGCCAGGGGCGTGGTACTTCTGTGCCCATACAGCTTCTGGACCCCCAGCCCGCAATAGGGAATTTTTTTAAAATTAATTGATTTTATTTATTTATTTTTGACTGCGTTATGTCTTTGTTGCTGCGTGCGGGCTTTCTCCAGTTACGGAGAGCGGGGGCTACTCTTTGTTGTGGTGCGCGGGCTTCTCATTGCGGTGGCTTCTCTTGTTGCCGAGTTCGGGCTCTAGGCGCACGTGCTTCAGGAGTTGTGGCTCACAGGCTTAGTTGCTCCGTGGCATGTGAGGTCTTCGCGGACCAGGGCTGGAACCCGTGTCCCCTGCATTGGCAGGCGGATTCTTAACCACTGCGCCACCAGGGAAGCCCCCCAGTAGGGAATACTAATGTGCATTTCGGCCTAAAGTCATAGTTGGGAAGGTAAGTGAACCTGGACAAAGGAGACGTCACAAACACACCTACCACCAGGCTTACTGCCCCCTGCCCTTCAGGGGCTGAAGTTTCCAAGGACGAAGCCTCTCTGGCAGGACTGAGGGGAGCCAGTCTCTGGTGGGAGCCCTGGGGTGGGACCCCTAGTCTCCCATTGACTCACTGTACTGCCTTCTCAGGACTGCAGTTTTCTCTTGCATGGATTCAGGGTCCATTTTCCCTGAGACTCACCATTGAATCTCAGTGCCTGGCCCAGTGCCTGACATTCAGAAGGCGCCCATTAGATACTTGGGGTGAAGGAGGGGAGTCCCAGCCCAGCAAGTCAGTGAAATAGATGTTTCTGAGGCCATCTGAAGTAAGTGAAGGGCTGGGCCCTCCTGGAACTGGATCTGGAGGATGTGTTGGGGCCAGGGCTGGGGGTGGGTGGGGACGAGAGAGTGAAGGTGGACTTGACTGGAAATGGAGCATTTGGGGGCATTTTCATCCCCTGGAGATGGAGCTCCTCCCTCCCGCCCTCTCACACTGACAGCACCATTTGTGTGCAGAAGAGGTAACTTTGGACAAGGGTTACTCAGAGAGGCCAAGGAGATGCTGTGCAAACTGAGATGGAGGTTGAGAAGCACCAACCCCCATCTGGGGGAGGGGGAACCCGGCAGGAAGGAGCTTAGGTCTGTGGTCACCACGGCGTCTGCCTCGGCCTGGGGATTCTATAGGCTCCAGCGCCCCACCTACCCACCCAGGCCTCCCATGTTCAGTGTCCGTGGGGTGGGCGGATCCCATGGACCGTGGACATTAAGAGTGGGGGCCTCACTGGGGCCCCCTGTGCACTTAGGTTACCTCTCCCCCCACCCCCATCACTCTCTTGGGACATGTATTATTTGGACCCCAGCCCTGGATGGCTCCCATGCACAGTTCTTGCTTTATCTCAACTATCACCTTGGAAAATCATTGTCTCACTAGCCTCACCCCACTTCCTCTCATCCCGCCACTCTAATTATTTTCCCAGCAACGCCATCACCGTGTGAAGATACTGTACCGTCTTCTGTTCTCATTTATGGTTCGTATCCCCTAAAATGCACATGCTCCACAAAGATCAGTGCCTTGTTCACACCCGTGCCCTGGTCAGATGTAGGGCGTGTGTCAAAGAAGGGACCACAAGCCACCATCCAACTTGGGGTCAGGTGTCAACAGGCGAAGGTGAGTGAAAAAAGCCTTTGAAAACAGAGCACTCACCACAGGAGGTCAGAGTATGGAAAACTCTTGGCCAGGTCTTTCTGCCTAACGGTTCCTTATATTTTGCTCTGAGAAGTAATTTGATTTGGCTTAATGGACTCAGCCAAGGAAATATACACATACACACACAGACGTGCACAGACACACACACATGCACACACAGAGAGGCACAGCCACAGACAAATACACGCACACACTCAGAGACATACACACAGGCACACACACATGCCCGCAAATGCACAGGGTCCGAGGCTCCCTTAGGCCTCTGCTGTACTGTCCCTGGGCAGAGGCCAGGACAGGTGGGGTTACTCCCGGAAGGGCACCAGGAGGTTAGATGCAGCCTCATCCAAGGCTGAGGAGTAGTAGCAATGGGAGCTTTTTCCTCCCAAAGGCTGGCGCTCCAATAAACCAGTGTTAAATATGTCAGGTGGTGCCAGGAATTACGTAGAAAAATAAAGTTGGTACCACAGAGAGGGAATAATGCATGTTCTGGGTGAGGGGACTGCTATTTACACGGAGACGGCCCCTGAGAAAAGGACATTTGACGAGAAACCTGCATGGGAGGGAACAAGCAACTTGGAGGTCTGTGGGGCTGGAGTCCTCGGCAGGACCGGCCCTGGTCCTGAGTGGGGTCACCTGGATGCCGAGCCTGGTGTTTGTTGAGGATCCTGGACAGGAGCCACCTTCTCCACTGTGTGACCTCACCTGGGCTTATCCAAGGAAATCCAGCGTGAGGCCCCGGCTCGAGGCTCAGCAGCTGCCCTGCAAGGACAGGGGGAGGGTACTGGGGCTGCAGGGGTGGGTGCACCTCACAGGAGGTGCTGGGACTGGGCCAGAGGACAGATGGGGGTTCCCAGTGAGGAGTGTTCCAGGCAGAGAGAGGTGAGGTCCCTGGGGACAGACACAGGGGACACGCCACCTGCCTCTTCCCCGTCTAGGGCCCCTGGTTCTCCCACGTGCCGGGGCTCCTTCCACCCACGATCTCCCCAGGGTGTGGGGAGCCGCCAGTGGGCCTGGCTCAGGGGGCTCTGTTAGTCTTTTCAAGCAGAAACGGCTGCCGGTGGCGACTGGAGACTGGAGAACAGGGCAGGGGCCGCCTTTGTGCAGAAGGGGAGAAGTGCACACACTCGCTTGCGGGTGTCATGGGAGGGGTGCGGGACCACACTGGAGCCTAATCCAGTGTCACCTGTGAAGTGGCACCTGGAAACCTGGGACAGGCTGGGAAGAGACTTGCGCCGTGAAGTTCGAGCGTGCGTTGGGGCGGGAGGGGGACGACCGTCCCAGGACCTGTGGGCTGACAGCTGCAGGGTGACAGTTGTCCTGCAGGGCTGGGCAACATTCCAGGAGGGCCCAGGACCCTCCTTCCTGAGTTGCGGGGGTAGAAAGGGGAGCAGCATAGCCTGCAAGCTGCCATACCTCCTCCTTCTGGGACACCAAGCCTGCCTTCCCCACTGCCGCCCCTCTGTACCCGGCTGGCCCGTGTCCAGCCTGGAGTGGAGGAAGGAGACCTGGAGGGACCCGCCCACCAGCTCAGGTCCCAGTCCCACCCCTGTGTTTTCCTAAGGATGACTCATCCCAGACCCACCAGGGAGGCTCCTGGGCTGTTTACCACAGGCCAGCCCTGGCCGCAGGCTATTCTGGGAGCTGGGGGTTGGGCTAGCTGGGCTGGTGGAGGAGGTTTGTCTCTGGGCAGTGGGCGGGGTGTGGGGGGGTGCGGGCATCCACGTGTGCTCAGGTGTCACGGGGTTTGGGGTTTTAACCCTTGTCAGGGGGAAATAGAAAACATGGAAAGATTCTTGCCCTCCCCCGCCTGCCTGGGACTTGGGGCCGTTGGGGTAATAGGCCTGGAGAGAGGGATTTACACTGACCACTAGCAGGCGGGACGCCTCCGTAGGAGAGGGGGACAATAAGACCAGTGT